TTTTAACGAATGAGTGCTATTTGTATAGCGAATCGAGTGAGAAATTGTTAATATATGGAAAACAGTCTGTCAGCCTGATAAAAAATACCTGGTATCATAATTTTAAAGCAATTATAAATTGCTCTAATAAATTACATGAATTCTGTTCTAACTTATATTAAGTCTCTTTTAAGTTCTCTCGAAATTTCTGTTTAAAAAAGAAATAAAAAATATTGATGATTATATAATTTCTCTTATCGTGTTTGAATAACTATCCTAATTGAAACATATTAATTACTGCGAAATTTGTTCGCTGAGAACAAATATAATTAACAAAAATATTTCATGATTATTAAAAGGTTTCCAAAAGAATATCAAATAAATTAACAAATCAATAAACAAATATAGTCAATTATACATGAGTATTTATTTATTAAAATCTAATGATTTTATAAAATAAATACTACATGTAACTAAAATTAATTTGATAATATATGTATTTATGTCTTTCAATTGCACAGTATACAATTAAATATACAATCTATATACAATAATATTAATATTTTTTATATATATGCGTTAATTTTTTTTATTAAGTTAATTAATTATTTTCTTTGTATTTTATTTTCAATAAAAACATAATAACTGTTGTAGAAACTTGAATTAAAAAGAGACGCACAGGTGTGTGTGAAGTTGGTATCTCATTTTGTGGAAACTCGTCAATAATTACGAGTTCTGACTTTATTTAGTGCTAAAGTTTCTGATAGTTTAAACAAATAGTTCCGACCATTAAAGCAACGAAAATGCCTTAGGACTTTGTAAATAACAAAAATTTCTGAATTTCCATTATGTACATATTTTTAATTCAGTATTTGGTCACCAGTTGGTTCTACTTTTAGACAAACATTTTTTTTCGAGACATTTTCTGCGTGAATAATAGGTCTAGATTGGGCAACGACATCAACTGTTATCAACTTCTACATTTTTCGGAGAAGCCTCTATATCCGGTTGCCGCGGCAGCAAAGGGAAAGGGAGAAATATCAAAGACTGCTTTGTTAGGCTAACGCGATACGCGGGCGACACTTTGTTGCAACGACACAGATGCAGATGACGTACGCAGTAATATTAAAAGAAAATATTGACGATTTATATTTTTTTCTTAATGTAACTTTTAAATTATAGTAAGTACATCGGAGCATAATAAATTTTTTAAAATTTTTGTTAAATTAAAAATAGTCACAAATCATATATGCGATACATTTTTGTATATATTTTTATGATGTAATGTCACATACACACACATATGTGTAAAATATATACACATATAACATAAAAATCTTACAAGAATATAATAGTATATAATAATAAATATTTTTATTCTTGTAAAATATTTATAAATATTTGTATTGTCTTGATTCAATTTTCGAGTGTAGAATAAAATATTGTATATTTATTTATAAATTTTAATTATTTGATTTGAGAAATAATATTTTTACTTTTATTTTGCGTGTGAAATTTTAATGTAATACTTATTGGAAAATTAAACCCAAATAAAATTTGGTAAAACAAAATTTTCATCTCAGCATAAGACGAAACTGAAGTTGTGGTTCCAACCGCATCGTTCCTTCCATTTTTCTCTTCGTGCCACAAAGTGTCAGTCCAGAGGGGGATAGTCTGTGGTCGTTACGGGACGAGCGTTTTTCTCCGTGAAGATCAGTGAAGATCCCTCACATGTGGGAGATACGAAGTTGCTGGGACCCCTATTACATTGTAGCATTCCTGCCAGACCACTTCAAACCGTAACCGTTTCTACATTTCCCATTAGGTTGCTAGAGCCGAAACCAAGTAGCTAGAAGATATCGGTCTAGCTATTAATAAAAGCGACTTTTACGAGAAATAAGGGATACTCGGAATAATATTTCACGATATTCTGACGGGATCGCGCTAGATATTGTTCTATTAAAAAACAACATTCTCTTCGTGACAGTTTCTTAAAGCGGTGACCTCACAAAGTTGCATCACCATCATTCATCATTCAAAGACCAATCTATTATAGATAGAGTTAACAGAGAGAAAATAATGTAACGAAATCTTCATTAAATTAAATTAAAAAACTCAAAGTAGTTATTGTACGTTCTATGAGTAAATTTTATTTATTAAACGTATTTTAGATATTTTTTATATTTTTATAAATCCAATTCATTGATCAAGAAGTAGAAATTATGAGGAGAATACGTTGATAAAAACATTTCGTTTGATATATCACATTGTAGCATCAGCCGGATGCCATTGCCTGTTAGCCGAGTGCCCCACCAAAGATCTACACATACGTCATCGGCTTAAACTGCTGGGGATGATATTGATATGCCTAGGCGAGAAGACTACACAATGTTGCAGCTACATGCTTAAGAATGAAAATATATTATTCCAGTACACATTTAACTGTTTCAATTAGATATTTAAACTTGATATATTTTTTAATTTTTAAAAATTTATTATTTAATTAAATTAATTATATTAAATAAAAATATTAATTGCTATTATTACGAGTTCTATATAATTATCAAGTTTTATCATTGAAATAAATTATTCGTATAAGTCATAATATGTAAAAAAATAATTTATCAGATAATTTGCAATATTGTTATTTTGTGCATACTGTTGCACATTGTTGCACAGAATTGGAGAAAGAATTGGAATTCACGATTTAGTTTTCAGTTCTATACTTTTAGTCGATCCTCCCTCTGAAGAAATTCGTAGATTATATTAAAATTACGTCACACATTGTAGTTTTTTTCGAAGGCAATGGTGTTGTAGTTCTCGGAAAAACTGAGATGGGGTGGGGATTACTTCAAGCCAGTTTCTATATTGTGTGTTTAGGGTCTCATCTTGAATCCCAAGCATCACTACATTTACAGAGAGACTCGATGAGGGGAAAACGATAGAAAATGTGCGTTTTGAACTTCATTGCGTCTGTTCAAAAGAAATTCGTCAAAAATTTTCTCATTTTTTAAAATTAAAATTGCAAATTTTCTTTTTAATAGTTGTATTAATATTTGTTAATTTGACAATTCCTTTTTGTTCTTAAAATTACAAGTTAAAACGCACTTGTAACGTCAATGAGCTGATAGGAGCAAGAATGCATACTTGCGTTTCTCTCACATCATCTACCTTCATGCAAATCTGCAGCTTGGAAGTTACGTGATAGTCCTGCTGCTTATCAAAGTTCTAAGAAAGGTTTCAAAAGGTATCGACTGCCGCCGGACAATCGTGTTGCCAGTTCGTTAATATATATGTAATCGTAATCGTACTTTGTAGTTGCTATTTTGCCATTTAAATAAATAAAACTTGCAATCTTAAAAAATCTATTATATATTTAATATCTATTTATATACTTAATAAAGAGAAGTATGAAAAGAAATATGAGATATTATAAGATTATATTAAATTTTTAGAATAAAATAAATTTATGAAGAGAAATATTTTTCTTTATCACAACTTTGTGTAAGAGAACTTTTTTTTAATCTACTAAAATGTTACTTATGTGTGATGTATTATTTACATATGGAGTAGGAGAAAAATCATGGATTCAAGTTTTAACATCGTTTTTCTGAAAGTTGAAATTTTTATTTTAGATTTTTAATTTATTTTTGTATGAGAAATTTATTCTTTTTTATACTTGTACTATGCTTTTCTCTGTATTCTGTATATTTTTTTTTATTTGCAAAGCATTTATAATGTTTGGAAAATTAATTTAAGTTTCTACAATATACAAATGAAAGCTTGTATGAAAAGTTATTTCGAGCTTATCTATTTTAATTTTTATGTCTCATTTAAAAGTCATATCGCGTATTAATGCATGTCTCATATCTTTTTGTATGTGCATAAAGTTAGCCCTCTATTTTTTTTAATTAAAATTTTTTTTTAGTTCTAGATTATTCTATGTTTGTTTTATATTGTTCCAAAGTTATGAGACCAAAAATAAAAAAACAAGATAAAAACGCACAAAAAACAGTTTTTTAGCGTTTATTTTTTGAAAACATTTTTTTAAAGTTTTTTTTCTTCTGAATTATTCTAATTTATTGTTCCAAAGTATCAATTCCCCTAAAGATGTTTTTATAAAGATACAGAAAAAATAGCAGAAAACGCTTGTTAAATCATTTTTTATCTTTGTAGCTATCATTTATTGTTATCTGACCATTAAGACTCAGAATAATCCTGGAACAACTCAATTTTACCGGAGTAAACATATAACAGGCACTTTACTTTTGATGGTAAAGATACATTTCATCCCATTGTTATAATGGACCCTATTGTTATAATGGTATTTTCGAATTCCTGATACTATTGTTCTACATTTTGATACTGATGATGCGATGTCATCGGTCGGAACAGATAAAATAAGTATCTCCAAAAGTAAAGTGCTTTTTAATATATCTATTCCAGAAAAATGAGAATTGTTCCAGGTTGTTCTAATTTTTTTTGCGTTCTTTGTCTTGTTTCTTCATTTTTGGTCTCATAATTCCTAAAATCTTATACATATATATATATATATATATATATATATATATATATATATATATACAGTGTATCTAAAACAATATGATAAAATTTACAGGCATATTCATAGGGTTAAGAAAAAAAATTCTAATCAAGAATTTTTATATTAAAATAACTCGAATAATAAACAGACTATGTGAGCCGACTTGGATGTTTATGCGTTAAGACAGCGAAAATTCATTTTTCACTGCCTCATCATTGTGCACGAGGCACGAAATTTGCTTAGCACATTGCTAAGACAATTATTTAGGAATAAATCTCAATTCAAGATTTTTATTCCTATGTTCCGTTCTGACCCCCTGAAGTGATTAATTTTCGCTGCCTTATATTATTTTTTATATTAAGTTATTTATTACATCGTGCTTATACTCTCCTTATTACATAATATAAGTATATATTACTTTAGTCATGAATCTTTTACTTTATTTCACGTTTAATAAAGGATTTCTCTTTCGTTCTAGGCTAGTCGTACGCTCGCAAGTGGCGAGTACCTTCTACCGTGTCCAAGATGCAGGTTTCCCTCTCATGTGGACAACGAGAAGAACGTGGGAACCTGTTCGAGGCAGGGTTGCTCCATCGAATTCTGCATCTCTTGCTCGTCGAAACCGCATACGGGCCCGTGCAAGACGCCTTTACTAGCCACCCCGACGAAACGTAACAATAAACGTCTCATCGTTGGTTCGAGGCAGAGCAAGCGGAATCTGCGACGATTGTAAAGCGACATCCTCGGATTCGACTTCGATCGCGTTCGGGGGAGAGAAAAACTAGTCCAGTTGCGGAGTCGCGTCGGCTCTGGAGAGAAAAATTGTATTATAAGACGAAATGCGATATATATTGTAGAGAATCAAAAGTAATTTTATATACAAGTATTATCAAACGTAAATTAATATTTAAGTAATTAGTGCTTCTTGTTAGCACGAAGATTATTCGAGCAAGAACTGATGCGATGGCGAACGTAATCTGCGCATCGAGATGAATTCGGTTACAATTTGTGATGATCATTTATCGTTGCATCGATATATCTTTGTAGCTTGAAAGAAAAATGTTTTAGCAATGCCCCTTTCTGTAATATTTTATCTAGTAAGAGAGGTGACACACACAAGTACATTTCGCCGTCGTAAACCTCGTTTATGCATGCTTTTTAAACGTTATAAAATTGGAGAACACCCTAATTTGCCTCATTCATCGACACTACGTGGGCTAATGATCGAACTATAATCTAAATCTTCCGAATGATGGTAGGATGTGTAACCGAATCGTCCTCCTCTTCGTCGATCCTCAGAACAACCTCTGTTCTGGACTCTGCAAAGAAACGTGCAAAGAACGAGAGAGAAAGAGGGCGAGAAAACAAGGGATTAGCGGTTAAGGGGCGGTTACCTGCGAAGAATGGAGAAAAGAAGAGAATGAGAATGCGAGAGGGGGAGAGAGAAATGAGAAACCATAAAAGCAGCAACGGTCGTAAAACCCCGTAAGAGGGAACAGGCGAAACACTTTGCGCCGCTTGGATATTCCGCTTTTTACCCTGCGCTCTCGGTTCCATAATGAAGCCGAGGAAAGTCGATCGCGGTTTCTTGCGGCCGAAGCTCGTCCGCAGAAACCGCTTCTCTCTCATTTTCTCTTTCCCTCGCGTATGAATCATTCCGTAAAATATAATAATTGTCCGGACACAAACTCGACATTCATCAGAACGCGATTCTTATTCATCTAACATCTTTCATAAGACATTAGAAACGTACGAGATTGTTTGCTCAAATTTTCAACCCTTTCAGCGAAAAGGGTATCTCGTTCTTTCTTCGATTTTGCTTCTCAATCGAGCTATTTTAACAAATCTATGAAAAATCGAATAAATTATGATAAAATCAATAACTATTTGAGAGATGGCTCTAAAAAAATGTTCAGTACATTATTGTTTTTCTCTTTCCCTCGCGTATGAATCATTCCGTAAAATATAATAATTGTCCGGACACAAACTCGACATTCATCAGAACGCGATTCTTATTTATCTAACATCTTTCATAAGACATTAGAAACGTACGAGATTGTTTGCTCAAATTTTCAACCCTTTCAGCGAAAAGGGTATCTCGTTCTTTCTTCGATTTTGCTTCTCAATCGAGCTATTTTAACAAATCTATGAAAAATCGAATAAATTATGATAAAATCAATAACTATTTGAGAGATGGCTCTAAAAAAATGTTCAGTACATTATTGACATTAGAAACGTACGAGATTGTTTGCTCAAATTTTCAACCCTTTCAGCGAAAAGGGTATCTCGTTCTTTCTTCGATTTTGCTTCTCAATCGAGCTATTTTAACAAATCTATGAAAAATCGAATAAATTATGATAAAATCAATAACTATTTGAGAGATGGCTCTAAAAAAATGTTCAGTACATTATTGTTTTTCATAATACGTACAACACTTATTGCGGTAAATGGAGCAATTAGCATTAAAAAAATCAGATCTTTTTTAAACTACAATTTCTCGCAAAATTTTTTGCATGTTATTTATGATTATTTCCTTTTATAAATTTGTTTTTTCAAATTGTTAATTATATGAAAATTGCAAAAGATACTTTGCAAAAGTCCACGTCCTTCTATCTCTGATGCAAGCTTATATTTACGCCTGATCGTCTTGCTCGAATCATTGAAAAAGTATTGAAATTGCGTAGCAGTAAGAGAAACAGAAGGCTAAGTACAAGGGTGCGAAAGTATTAGTGCCAGAGCAGAAAATAAACAAAAAAATCGTCAGGAAGGATGGAGCGCATGATGACAATCATATAATCAATAGAATTATCATTCCACGAATGAACATGAAACATTCTAATATTTCTATTTTAGATTATTGGATAAACTAATTGTGGGAAGATTTTATGCAAAAAACGCAAAATTTAATTTTTATAGGAGAAAACAAACATTCTTCTTTGCTCCGTATTTCCTGACGTCAAGAAGACGGTACAAAGAGTTTTACCATTTGTGCCATGATTAAGTTCTCCTCCTCTCCCCTTTCCTGCGCCATAATAATTGCCATATTTTAAAAACTGATATAATTGTGAGAGGAAGAAAGATTGCGTGCATATTTCAGCATCTTTCATTCTCAAGCAAAGCCCTTAAATGGGGTGCCATATTGTGTTTTCGTTTTTTGTTTGTATATTTTTTTTAATTTCTCTCTTTAATTAAGTCTACACTTTTGTATTTTTTAAACGAATTCATCTCGTTTGTATTGTTATTTCTGTACCGGTGCATATGCGAAAAAAAGACTGTATGTAAATAATCAAGCGTAATAGTAATATATTTTGTGTCAGTTCACCGAGCAAAGGCTCGTAATATTTTATTTACGCTACATTCTTGTTAAAGCGATATAAAAATACGTTTATTATATAATTAAAATAATATCTCGTTTCTCATGAATGTATTTCGGCAAAAAGATTAATGTAAGAGAAATATTTTAGGCTAACGTTGTTTCAGTAAAATTATCTTTATGTGGTATAGAAAAAACAAGCAACGAATTTTCGTCATTAATGTCATATAAATCTACTTCATTAATGCTCTCTTTACGCTCTCTAAAAAATAGATGTAAAAGCACCTTCATTCGTCGTGTCTTTGTTCATAAAAGTGTCGCGAAATAGTTCGAGTAAGAAAATTTTTAATATCTCTCTCATGAGATTTACACGTGCACATGCGAGAGTGAACACACACGTTCATAAAGATACTCATTAAAATCTTTTAAATTATTTATTCGAATGTTTTATCATTACTTCTTTAAATCAAACTCGATGTTTGACATTTTATTTCGAAGACCCGAATATTGTCGCGTTTTATTTTATATTTCATATTTTAATCAATATATAACATACTGAATTTATCGATTCGCAAACTCAACTACGTCACTAAATAGTATTGTTACAACATTTTCATAAAAAGAAAATTATTTGATGTTGATTCTTGATTACAATTTGCATAGGCTAATACAATAAAAATTTGAATAATTAATTTCTTTTTTCGTCGTGATTTATGTAAGAAATGTCTTGCATTTGGTATCTTGAAATATTTCATCTTTAATACTCAAAAATATTTTGGCAACAATCCAATACGTTTATTAGACTAAGTTATATTTAAAAACAATTTTTTAGTAAGAAGAAAGTGATGCCAAATAAAATGCTTGATAAGCAATAAAAAAATCTCGATATTTTTATAGGAATAAACATATTTTAATACTTAGCGTATAAGAAGTTTTATAATGCACTTGCTCGAAACTATTTTATGAAAAATGCGAAAATGCTCAATCTTTTCTGCATATGATTATGTCTTAAATTCGAAGAACTTGAAATATGTTTGCGTGTTAGAGATGATTTTAGGAAATAAGAGAAGTGCCTAAGAATTATTATAGTGAGTCTACGTTAAATTAATTAAATGTTGTAAGCCCCTTTCAGGGTAGGTTCCTGTATTGTCAATTAAATATAATATTTTCTGCATAATCTCGTGTATTTTTCTTTATCCAAAAGTGATTATAAGACTTATATCTCTATTAAATAAATATTAGAAAAAAAAAATATATATATATATATATTAAATATAAAATTCCACATTTATTGTGTGCAATGTCATATATATTTTCAATAAACTATCTACATAAAATAAACGATATATATTTAAATTAGAAATGTCCATAGTATCCTAACAATCACAGCAAAAAAGATCGTAATCGTCACTATTTTGTAACTCGACGATGTCTTCTCTTGTAATGCTTTGGGAACGACGATTTCTTGTGAAGGAGATGTCAGTGCCGGAGATACACCTTCGCCAATCGGTTCCCCTTTCATGGAGAACTTCGTCGCTTCTATAATTCTCACATCGATCATCTTTCCCATATATTTCTCCTCCATAGGAATCAACACCTGTTCGTAGAACTTGTTGTGTCCTACGTAATGCTGTTTATCATGCGACACCTCCGTCACTAGCACCTTTTGCAACAGTCCAATTTTATGTTGATGCAGTTCGTACGACTGGAAGAATTCCGACAACCTTTTGGTTCGAGTCTTCACCTCTTGCGTGGGTACCTTCGGCATTCTAGCGGCGGGTGTGCCGGGTCGAGAGAAGAACTGATTGATGAAGAGGCTCGGAAACTTATATTTTTGACAGAGCGTCATCGTCTGCTCGAAATCCGCTTCCGTTTCCGTGGGGAAGCCGCAGATGATATCCGTAGCGATAGTCAGACCCGGTACTCGTTCGCTCAGGAAATTCACGGTGTGCTCGAACTCGGCGCGCGTATACTCCCGTTTCATGTCAGCTAACACCTGATCGCTGCCGGATTGCACCGGAATGTGCAGGAAGCTGTAGACCTTGGGATGACGCAAGATCTTGGCCATCTCGTCCAGATGCTCGAGGATATATGGTGGATTGGTCATGCCGACACGCATCATGCAACCTTCCGGAATCACATCTATCAGTCGCCTAATAACTCTGGCAAACTGGAGCCGATGTCTCTGCCGTAGGCACCTGTGTCTTCCGACGTGAGCCACAACTCGCACACACCCTCCTCGAAGGCCTGTTTAGCTCGCTCGACTATATCTTCCGGCTGGTAACTGCCCAGTTCTCCTCGCGCGTGCTTTGTTTTGCAGTAAGTACATTGATTCAGGCAACCCGTATTGATGGCTATGATCTCGATGAGTGGATTTCGCCGCACCTTCGGAAGACTCAACGAAGCGCCACCGGTTTTCTTACCGGAATTCTTTTTCTGTTTCAAAAATCTCACTGTATTTCCTTTCAACGTTTCCTCCACGACTTCCACCACTCGATCGATCTGTTGCACTCCAATTATACTCAAGCCTTGAAGGAAGGAAGATTTTGGAGCTCCTTGTGGTACGCATCTGTGAATGAAATTATTTGTTTAGGATATAATTAAAATTTTATATATTCATTTATATCAAAAATCTAATGTTGAATAATATCTTTTGATATTGTATATTACTTGCTTTATTATTGAATCGATTAATATTAGTATATATATATATATATATATATAATATTAATCGATTCAATAATAAAGCAAGTAATATACAATATCAAAATATATATATATATATATGCATTCATGTGCAATTTTGTGCAACTTTTAAAATCAAGTAATAAATTAATTATATATTAATCTTCAATTAAATAAAAACATCAGCTAATAATGTACAATAATATTAAATATTCTAATATTACTCATTATTACATTAGTACTAATAGTTCTCCATTCTACATTTCTTCACAGTTATTTCCAAAAGTATTTTTAAAGAAAAACAATTGTTAAAAGAAATTTATCTTAAGTAAAATACATATCTGTAATTATCTGTCTTCCTATAAATTTATCTTTTATCTGAAATTCTTCATCAATTTAATTCTTCTCATGTAAGAACATACCCAGCAACTACAACATGTTTGCCTATTTTCTTCCCATGCTCGATTTCATTCCTGAACTGATCCTCCGCAGGATTCTTGACGGTGCACGAATTCAGAAGCCACAAGTCTGCCTTCAGCTTATCATCGGACAAATTGTAACCATACGCTGCCAGCTGTCCAGCCATGTACTCGGTATCCGAATTATTGTGCGTACATCCCCACGTTTTCACGTAGATCGTCTGAGTACCAGGTATTATACTTGACAAGACAAGTGGCTGCAAAACCACCTCCTCCTGTACCTGCTTTTTTCGTTTTGGTCGTATCGTGATATGCTTTCTCGAACTATATCTCTCCTTCGGTGTTATATCCTGGGAAGCGATTAAATCCTCAATATCCTCAATGATGTCCTCGCAAGGAGCAGGCATGTTCGGTAGAAATTAATACCTTTGAAATAAAGAAGAACAAAGAAATTAATACACTAATAATATTAATAAAGTTTTTTACTACGATCTCTCTTGACACTAAGGAAGAATTAAAAAATAAGAAATAATGAAAAATAAAGAAATTAATACACTAATAATACTTATAGTTTTTTACTGTAATCTCTCTTGAAACGTCTCGAAATACTTCGAGGTTAGATGCACGTGGACGATAATCTTAGAATCAGTAAACCTTTGCTATCCAAAATAAAAACTCAAATAGATTTTTGGACAATTATGATAAAAATCCCTTATTTTTATCGCTCGCTTTCGCTTATTCTTTATTTTAATTGTAATCGATTAAATTTGAGTGATAGAGGTTAAAACTGAAATAAAATGAGATCATAAACGTAGTAATATACATATACTCGAAACTCTATATGAAATATGGAATTATCTGCTTCCTGTCAAACGCGCCGATCTGTCATCGCGCGCGCGCGCGCGCGAATAGAAAAATGCCTATAATCTCGATAGGGAAATTCTGACAGTCGGACATTTCCGAATCTTCTGATTGGTCGAATCTGGTGAAAAAGTGTCAAGTACCGATTCGTGAAATATTTCCCTAAAGTTTCTCAATTTCTTCGACCGAGTTCATCATCTCATAAAATTATGCTCCGATATATTTTGTGCTCGTATACACTCGTTGTACGCCATTTCGGAAGGGGAAGATTGTCTCAGGAGTTGACACACGTAAATCTTTTTCACGTAAACGATGGGCGAGGATTTCAACGGAGGTGAGTGTTTTAGAAAATTACGCGCGTTTCACGATCGAGATATTACTGCGTCCTTGACAGGTCGGTCGAGCTGTGTACGGTTATAACGTCTGAATCTTCAAATTGATAAACACAGTTTGAAGAGGTTCGAAGGTGCTTTCGAGTAGCATTTCGAGATATTTCGGCCTTTCTTTTTTCTCATTTAGATATAACGTTTACTTTTATCGTATATATACAATTTTGGCCTTGCATTTTTGATATTATAACAAATGATTTACGTTTGTGATCAATACAAGGACGAATGTGAGATCATCAATGGCGAGATTCTTTTTCCATAAGTTTTTTGAATATTGTTAAAATATTGTTTTCTTATTTAAAGAATTGTGTAGTAATGTATAAATGTGGAAGTTTATATATTATAATTGATTATATATTTATTTCTATGTAATTAGATTTATTTTTATCTAATTGGATGATGCTTCAATGCGTTTTTATTCTTAGATCGTGACAGACAGGATCGGGATAAGGATAGAGATCGAGATCGAGATCGTGATAGGAGACATCGATCACGTAGCAGAGATCGTAGAAAGCGATCGCGTTCTCGTTCCAAGGATCGCAGAGATAGAAAGAGAAGTAGCTCGCCTAAGAAAAGTCGCAGCTCTAGAAGAAGAAAACCTTCTCTATACTGGGATGTACCACCACCTGGTTTTGAGCATATTACTCCTTTACAGGTAATATTATTTTTTGTGCTAGTTGGATTTGTTTTTTAGCGACTTGTTATTTGAACTTGTTATATTATTACATATTAAAATATATTTTCTTCTTACAGTATAAAGCTATGCAAGCTGCCGGACAAATACCCGCAAATATCGTAGCAGACACACCACAGGCAGCTGTACCTGTAGTTGGTAGCACCATAACTCGTCAAGCAAGAAGGCTTTATGTAGGGAACATTCCATTTGGTGTAACTGAAGAGGAAATGATGGAGTTCTTCAATCAACAGATGCATCTGTCCGGTCTCGCGCAAGCCGCCGGAAATCCAGTATTGGCGTGTCAAATTAATTTAGACAAAAATTTCGCATTTTTGGAGGTATAACGTTAACTCATACATATATATACAGGATACAATTTTTTATATATATTTTTGTTTACATCATTAAAAGTATGGTATAAATATGATATCATTAGTTTTGATTAGTTGTATCGATCAGTAATTTAAGTTGTAATGATGATATTCTTTTTAATTTTTTCCTCCTTTTTTCAATATAGTTCCGATCAATAGACGAAACTACACAAGCCATGGCGTTTGATGGCATAAACTTCAAAGGACAGAGTCTGAAAATAAGGAGGCCACACGATTATCAGCCAATGCCAGGAATGACCGATAATCCAAGCATGAACGTGCCAGGTACGGTTCCCGGTATGTTCTAACATACATTTCCTTATATCTAACAATGCACTCACGACCGTATTATGCTTAATCTGCGCTTATTTTCATTTCGTGTGTTTATTTCTATTTTAGATTCCCCGCACAAGATCTTCATTGGCGGTTTACCAAATTATTTGAACGAGGAGCAGGTATGCACGGCAAAACCGTGGAACAATTTTATCTATTGCACACCTTTGGATGCAATTTTTTTTCTTCATTGAATTCCTATTCGCGGTCAATCGCGTTAGTTTGCCCAATTACGTCGCTCTATCGACTGTTACAACATTTTTATCAGGAAACGATTTGGCTTCAATGACTAATGAAAAATTGCATTCCGTGATATCGCAACGATACAGGGTTATTATATATAGCACGGCAGGCATGTGCGTATGCTAACCCTGTCGCGTTGTAAGTTACCCTCAAAGGACTAAATTATAATATAGGTATTTAGCTATTTAGCGGTGAGTGCACTCACACATACATACACACGACTGAGAACCCTCGTCTTACTCGAGTTCAACAGAGGTATGTATGCGTTTCCATCAAGATATTTCGGCGTCGGTTAGGCTCCTTATTAGATAGAGATGTGTAATTCAGGACTTTATATTATTATTATTTATTTATTTTTTTTATATTCGGACAATCCGCTTCTCGTTCTACTTTTCGACGAAACCTCTTATCATCCCTCGCATCTCGTTGCTCCAATGTGGCATATGTTGCTTAGTATAGGGAAGTATTAGTGGCGTTACAGCATTTAGGTGGTATGCAGTCATCGACGATCATCCTTCTCTTTCTCTCTCTCTCTTTCTCTCTCTTACAGCCTTTCTAGGCATCGCGGACCCAGTCCATCACGAAGATACGAATTTCTAGGCAATTTTTTTTAGGAAAGCCAACAGGGAAGGGGGGAAGGTCTTTGTCTCGACTACGTTCGGAAATAAACCGAAGAAAATGAACGATCATTCATGTTTCGAATTCATATGATATAAAAATAAGCAGGACACAGAAGTACTTGATGACATTTTGAAACGAAATTCCTCTAAAGCTTTTTTTTATATCCTTGGATATTTTTCCACGCTTTGAAATTTTACAGAATCGTCCTCTCGCGCAGCAATGATACATGCTGCAAAGAAGGATCTCTTTTAGGTCTGCAAGAAAAAGCATAAAGCTCAACATTTTTATATGTAGCAGAATTTTTTTCCTTTTCTTTCTTTTTGGGATTACAGGGTCAACACATAATTTTATGTGCATCTGGTAACAGCTCCAAGTTCTCCGGTATATATTCTTTTCAGGAATATCTCTTTTCTCTTTTGCAGCTGTTCTTTTTACAGGCTTTTCAGGCTTTACTGCACTTCTCGTCTTGTTACGTTTACAGGTCGCCGCGAACGAATGAACTGTCAAATATATCAATGCATTGAAAACTTCTTAAGCAAAAATAAGAATACAAAGAAAAGAACGTAAATAGTTAAAAAAAGGAATAGTATAGTAGAAATAGTAATAGTAAAAAAAATTAAAAAAAGAAACAGCTATCTTTTATTGGATGATTTAACGGTATTCTTACAAATAGCTATGTTTAACAAAATTCGTAAGAGAAAAAAAAAGAAAAACGTATCATCTCATTATATAGTAAACTGTGGACTGATACCAGTACCCTTTCTCCCCATTTCTTAGCTTAGGGTCGTGCCGATCAAAAGCATTCGCTTACCACTACCACTACTTCTACCACTACTTCTACCACTACTACTACTACTACTACCGAACATGACAAAATACCACACTGCCTGAGGAGAGGCTAGCCCAGTCCCTCGAGGCAAGTACTTATACCATTCTCATGCCTTCGTACATTGGATTATGCGACGATTTTGTAGACCCCTTTCCTCGATGTGTTCTCGGTTCTCCTGTGCCAATGGTGCGTCCTCTGAATAATTTTACATCGATAAAAGCATATTGCTCTGCTAAATCGCTAGGTGATTGATGCTACTTTGATGTAGAATTAATTTTAAATGACATAAGAAGAGAGAAAGAAAAATTTAATTCCTCATCGAGAGCAGCATGCTGTTATCTAAAGTTTTATTTTCAGTCCCTTAGCTCGTCGATAATATGTAAGTAAAAATTCAATATATATATATATATATATATATATATATATATATTATATATATGTTACATTGAAAAGTATAAATATATAAAAGTTAAAGATTTTGTGTTTTGAATGAACGAACGATATAAAGAGTGACGTCGAAGCGCAATCGAGCGGAAATTATTTCGTCCGACACGAAGGCGGTGTGTAAGGAGTTCTTATGGAGGAAAGATACGCAAGCATATCTATGCATTTATATTTCATTTTTCTCATATTAAGACTATGCAACTTTTATTTCAAATATTCTGAAATAAATTTTTCCCAGATTAAATATCTTGTTATTATCACAAAAGGTTGTTATTACTTTTTTGAAAAGCTATCTTAATAATATCTCAAAAAAGAAATTTTTTTATATTAATAAATATCAATTATAAAATATGTATATTTAACATTACAAATGCAAAATTTTCGAATTATATGAAAAATATTATATACCTCTAGGTTTTGTAAAAAAATATAAATATCTCTATAATATATAATTTTCTAAATTTTGTACAACTAATTAATATTAGAGTTGCATAGTCTATACTTGATAGATTTGAAGATTATATTATGCGAATGAGAAAGTAATAATTTTCCAATAATACAGGTGAAAGAGCTATTGATGAGTTTTGGACAACTGAGAGCATTCAATCTAGTGAAGGATTCCGCTACCGGTCTCTCCAAAGGATATGCCTTCTGCGAATATGTGGACGTCTCCATGACCGACCAGGCAATTGCTGGGTTGAACGGAATGCAGTTGGGTGATAAGAAATTAATTGTGCAACGCGCCAGTGTAGGTGCCAAGAATCCCATGATAGGTGCACAAGCTCCAGTACAAATTCAAGTGCCTGGTTTATCAATGGTTGGCACGAGTGGACCTGCGACCGAAGTAATATTTGCTACAATTCGAATAAGTTTAAGGCTCTTGGGCTATGATCGTGACGTCAGAGTCTGATTGTGTGAGAGGAAAAAGAATAGTTTTCGAGATATTTTAAAAGTGTGCTAAAGCTATTTGAAATATCTTTTCAAAATTCATTTAAAAAATCATTTAAAAATAGCATCAATGAATTTTCAGCTTTCTCTGACGTCATAATTCTAACATGGTCGGCGAGGAACCTTAAATCAGAAATCACTAAATTGTAATTTGAGAATTTATATAATCATATAATATTTCTCAGGTGCTTTGTTTGCTCAATATGGTTACACCAGAAGAATTAATGGAAGAAGAGGAATACGAGGATATTCTTGAGGACATTAAAGAAGAATGTAACAAATATGGCGTTGTGCGATCCGTGGAAATTCCAAGACCCATCGAGGGTGTCGATGTACCCGGATGTGGAAAGGTATATTTAACATTTATATATACATGTATCTGTATATTACTTATCCTTTGACTCTGTTACAGGTATTTGTTGAATTCAATAGCGTGATTGATTGTCAAAAGGCACAGCAAACCCTCACAGGACGGAAATTTAATAATCGTGTTGTAGTCACGTCGTACTTCGATCCTGATAAGTATCACCGCAGAGAATTCTAAACACTTCTCTTTTTCATACGTTTAATAATTATATATATAATCTGCAATGTATATGTGAATTTGAATTATCTAAACGTATCCCGAGAATTAACAATTACTAGTTAATAAACAACGATGAAACAATAACAGATATTCGCGTATAAGTGACTAAAATTTTCACAATTGAAAAAGCCGATACGTAATATTAATCAACTCAAGCGTTTTATTTCATGCTTCGAAGACGTAAAATGAATATGTATAATAAAAATATTTGGTCATTAATATAAAACATAAACAATGTGCAGTATCTTAAACATTTTTGATATCGCTGTAGAAAATAATTCTAACAAATTAGAAAGTGATTTCAAAAATAATAAACCAAAAACATTTTTTTTCTATAAAAACATATTCTCTTTATAAAATTAATACATAATATTTTATATTATATACAATAATAATTTATAATGCATATTATTTAAAGTGTACGCGTAAAAATTTTTTTACAAAAACTTTGATTAGAAATTAATTTAACTTTCAATCTGTAATACAAATTGATAGAAGTGACATTTTGTCGATAATGTTTTTTGCAGTAATGCATTAAGCTTATCCAATAATAAAATGCCGAAATTTGTCAAAACTATTACCTATGTCTTGAGCAGACATACTCATATCTTTTAAAAATCGATTTAATAAATGTTTAGATCTTAGTTTTTATGTATAATTTATACATTTTTCTTTATTACTGTAATCTCTGATTATCTTTTTATCTCTCAAAATTTGGCGCCTCGCTTGACTTCTTCCTCATTCTCATTGATTGTTATTATTTATTTTTCATAAAATATTAGTCATTATTTTTAATGAATAATCGGTTTTTGTACGATGCGACAAAAGGTAGTATCTTTGCTTTTATTATTAATTAGAAATTATAAAATTCACTCTTTAATATTATTTCATTAATTGATTGCTTTACTATTATCACACATATACATATACGCTTCTTACTTTGCGAGAATCTCTCTCGAAGACTGCAGTGACTCTCAAATTATAGTTTATGAAAATTGGTGAAAATCTTATACGAAAGGAAGGACTGTTAAAAGAACTCTATAAAAAATATTACGCTAAATGCGTGCGACATTTGCTATAACTATTGCACAATATGATCAATTCAATTTGAAATATATTTTTTTAAAATATATTTATATTTTTTAGAATTAGTAACAAACATATTACATACGTATTATCTAAGAAAGCCACATAAAGGTTTTGTCCGACCGAGTTTGTCCTCTTCTTCCAATACTTTTATTAGAGCTTCGTTTAATTTGAGACTGATATCCTTCCCTACCTATAAAATTGAAATTAAAAATTAAAGAATTTAGATTTAAAAAATATATATATGTATATATTCCACATTACAATCAAACCCTTGTATTGTTTACTCTTTTTCTATTATTTAGCATGTAGAGAAAGCTCATTTTCTGACTCTACAGATGTCATCACATAATTATGCAAATCTGGAAAGTTAGTGGGAAAACAGTACAAGAGAAGTAATAGTGAGATTAGATAGTGCAGAGGTTTGATTGTATGCATCTTTGATGAGAATTAAGAAAAACATTTATCACCTCCAACATATTAATTAAGGTGTTAGGCAACAGGCTGCCATAGCCCAGCTTGACTACAGACGTCACTTTGCCGTTTGGCATTACGGACATAACGAGACTAACTGCACTGCATGATTCCTCTTCTAATGTTGGATCTATCACGAAATTGTCACCAATCTGTCGAAGGAAGAAAATATCATTTTTCAGTTAAAACGTTAATATTCTTATTAATTAAATATTGAATTTTTATGTTAATAAATATAAAATATATATACAATAAAAAATATAAAAGTAAAAGGAGAGAAACATTAATATATAATGCTACCTTTTTAGAAATATCTTATGTATATGTAAAGAAAATTTGCTCAATTTTAATTTTTCAGATAACACGGTAAAGAAAAGCAGAAAAAATATTTTCATGCTATTCATATATTCAATATGTTGAATAAATATATTGAATATAATATTAATATGATATGGAATATAATAAATAAAAAATATTGAATATATTAACATATTAAAATGCGATAAAAATACTTCTAAGGCTTAACGTACCTTGCATATTGTTACTATCAATGGATATGTCGTAATATCGAGTTTGATACAATCGTAAGGATCATCCGAGATCTGGATATCCGGTTCACCGCCATCGAGTGTTGCTGCAATTACCTTTGGAATTTCAGTATTGTACAATGCTGCCTTCACCGCGGCGCCGACAGCGTCAAATAGATTTCCGCCACACTGAAGGATCTGAGAAGAGAAAAGATAACAGAGTGGACTTCCCAGCAGCTTTCTATCATCTGATAACACTTACCAAAATATCCACATACATTTTCCAACACTTCTTATTAGGTATTATACACAACTGTTTTAAGTCAAACGCATCTGGTGTCTGATAAGCCATGGAGAGAACATTGCTTATCTCGGTCGCCAAATTGTCTCCACCTTTGCCTTCGAATGCTGGTGTAGCATTAGCGGAACTGTGAAAGAGATAAAAATATGATATTCCAACTGAATGTGATAAAATAAAATAAAATTAAAAATCCAAAATAAAATAAAATTGAAAATTTAAAGTATAAAATGAGATAAAATTAAATTAAATTAAAAATCCAAGTTTAAGACTTATACCAGTCTACAAAAAAGTCCAATTTGCCTTCGTCCGGCTTTTCGGCATACGGTGTGTCGATCTCCAGTTTTACACCAACTAATACGTCTGTAATATTGCCAAGACGTAATCTTGCTGATCCATGTGCATGTGGCATCAATCTGGTTTCTATTTCGAGGGAACGATACTGGCACCTAGAGCGACCATCGTTTCTCAGATCAAGCTGAAATTAATATATTCAATTATTATTTAATTGCATTACACGCATCAAAGTAAAAAATAGAATTAGAAAATTATACATGTAAAAAGTAAATATACAATAAAAATATATAAATATAAAAATATAAAATATATATATATATATATATATATATATATAAATGTATAAATATATAAATATAAAATATATGAAAATAAAATAATACTTGTAATAAAACTGCCTCAAAGAAATTAGCAATTAACAGTATAAACTAGTTTAGAATAACGGAGAGATAATTAAGTTTTGAACAATAAGTATTTCCTAAATCAAAATGCAGGGATCACATTGAAAAAATTGTCAAATACACTTACATCGACTCCATGAAGAATAAATGTCTTTTCGCCTAAGCCCAAAGGAGTCTCAGCCATTCTGAAGGGAGATTAATTTTTCCAATGATGTCTATTTTGCATTAATTCAAACAGGATAAAATAAATAAATGGATCGTCGCCGGTTGTCATCACATAAGAAAGTATATATTCTAACCTTATTTAGGAAGCCAGATTTATTCTTTAAAAGCTGAACTTTCTGCACTAGTGTACATGTGAATAGTGTCCAAAAATGAGATAGATATATGGAGATGGAGAAGTTGAAGAAAGAGAGGAAAACAAAAAGTGCGCAAAGTTAGCTAAAGAAATAAATAAAATTGTATATTTAAATTATAGTATAGCCATCCATTTAAAAAATATATGTAAAAATAAACATTATTTATTGATATGAGATTTTATATATATATATGTCTATTTTATATATATATATATATATATATATATATATGTCCGACATGAATAAAAAATAGAACAAGTCAAAATAAAAATAACTGTAGACAACTTATCCTCTATATATATATATATATATATATATATATATATATATATATATATATATATATATATATATATATATATATATAATAGAGGATAAGTTGTCTACAGTTATTTTTTATTTTGACTTGTTCTATTTTTTTATTCATGTCAGACAAAACTAATTAAAAATTAAATTTGACAAACTTAGTTGTTTAAAAATAAAGTAATTTAGTTTAGGAATCTTTTATAGGGAGATTATTAAAAATATCATTAATTATTAATATTATAACATTCGAGAAGAAATTTTCTAAAATTTTAATTTAATTTTTTGCTCCCCAAAATTGTGTTTAAAATTTACTCCTTAGAGTAGAACAATTGATTAACTGATCAGAAAACTTTTATTTTGATCCTAATCTATTCCAAAGAGTAAATTTTGGAACTTGGGAGAATATATCATTCTGAAAAAACAAATGAAAACTAGCAAATTAAAATTTTATTAAAATTCTATTTCCTAAAGTCCTAAAAGAAACCAATAAATTGAATCAGTTCAATTTTATAAAACAGATGACATGTGCTATCATCACTGTTTATTAATAACATTTTTTCTAACAACATTAATGTCAATTAAATAACTATATTGGATATATAGTATATGTATTTCTAAGATTTATATAGGAGATTTGTCGAAACCATTCACGTAGAATTGATTACCCTTTACTCGATATAAAGCCTCCAAATCCTTAGTATCAGGATACATTTGGGGTCTTGATAGAGTGATCTTCCATCCACTTTGTTTGGTCCAATTCTGGAGATCAAATAATATATACAAAATATACAATATATCCCAAGATAAAAGCTGTACGTGTTCAGTATATGAAATAAACATCCATTACCATTTTATTATATTTCAGGTGATAATAGATGCAATAGACTGCAACAATACTCATTGCAGTTTTGGATATAATGTGTCGCGTTACGTACGCACCTGTGAAGCCCTGTAAAAAGAAAAGAATTATTACTTTTTGTATATATTACAAGTGCAATTGATTAATCCCAGCAAACACCGATATATAATTGTTACATTGCTATAATAATATAGAATATAACAAGTAATATAATGTGTACGTTACATGTAACATCCATGTTAGTTGTAATTTCTCACTCATAGATGTAACATTTTAATATAACATATATTACATTGTAGTTATATTGTAATTATATACCAAATAGCACATTGATGTATTGATAAGTCAGTGCTATCTTTTTATTACAACTAACATATACGTTACATGTAACATGCTTAAGTATATAACATTTATATACTGTGTTTGCTGGGATGTTATGCTCGCATCGTTACCATAACCGGCTCCATCAGATTTTGAAATTTATTCATGGGTGCCTGGTAAAATCTTCTAATCGGATTGTACATCTTCTTGTAGTAACCCGGTGGTGTCACCGGCTCCTCTGGAGCGAGCTTTTGTGCATCGAGCCATTTCTTCCTCCACACACGTTCCTCATCCGTCATCCCCAGCATCCGTTCTCTTTCACGTTCCACACGACGAGTTATGCTCATGGGCCTCTCTCCACCCCCCTCCAGAGCTGAGAAGTCTGGAGGGTCTGGTACTCTGGAAACAGTAAGTTGCAAGAGTAATTACATTACAACACAATTGTAAACTGCCTATATATTATTTCATATTATTTAACAGAGAAGAATTGCTTGTTCTCTAATTATTTTTATTAAGTAATTACATAAAGCTATTGTCAACTGTCTAATTATTTCATATTATAACAGAGAAGAGTTGCTTCTTATAATTTAAATATATGTGTTGTCAAAATCATTGAAAGAATTGTTATGTTCTCTTTGCATAACAATTCTTATCTTGAATAACGGAAGAATTTATACAGATACAAAGTGCCAGATCTTTCCACCTACTTTTCATCACGATAAAGCTTTTCATAATGAAAACAATTAAAACGTTTTAATCATATCAAAATGTCACATCAAAATTATATTATGCATGAAAATTGATGTTAGAAAAAAAATACTATGTATGAAAACTGATATGTCAAAATTTCATTCCTATCAACATAATATTTTAGTCTAGGAATATACATAATTTAATATATAAAGAATAAGAAAAATATCATACCGCGCCATGATTTTGTTGACGATTAAGCGAGTTTAGAATATTATAAGAACAATTTCTTTTCAAACTATGAAAGAGAGGTTATGTCTCCTTCGAGGTTATTACATCACAGAAATTACGAGAACATTATAGTGGTGCCATCTTCTGTGAAAGGCTTTAACTTCTTTACAAAAAGCGCGCGAAAACTTAAAATGAAAAAAATACTTTTATAATTAATTTAATTGAAAGAATAAAATATTTTAAAATCTAGGCATTTTTTATACGAATAATATAACTTCTTTAAAAAAAACGCGCGAAAATTTAAAATGAAAAAAATACTTTCATAATTAATTTAATTAAAAGAATAAAATATTTTAAAATCTAGGCATTTTTTATACGAATAATATTTTTACGAAGTTAGTAGCAACCATCTAGGGTAACTTTTTGTATAAAAATATTTAAAATCAAGTAATATACTGAATTATTCTTGCAATAAAAAAAGAGAATCCATAAAACAATAATCACATATTATTACAATAATAGACATGATAATAAAGAAGAAAATATAAGGGAGTAACAACGATAAATCGGCGCAAAGCATTTTGATCATATAGGTATATCATTTATTTATTTATTTATTTAATCGATTTTCTCGCAGTATATTTTTGTCATTCATATACTTCATTTTTCGTAAATCAATTACAAGTATCATCATCTATTATCTAAGGGTATAGGTAGGTAAGTTACAGGCTCTTCACAGTATTGACTATATATACTATCCAGATAACTAAACTCTGTATCTACAAATATATTATTTCGTATCTCATATATGTATATACAGGGTGTCTCTTGTGCAACACTTTCTCCTAACGACAGTTACGTATGCAGTCGAGAGCTGCGTTTTGCTAAGTGAACTTTAAATGGCCTTAAAAATAGACTAAGCACACAAAGTATAAACTTCAGGTCAGAAACGTACATGTCGATTCTCATGTCATTATAGAGAATTAATTATATAACATTTAATATATATATAATTATATGTATATTTTATATAATTATATATTTATTTATATATAATTCCAGTTATCATATTTCTATAAGATTGCATATATCTTTATCAGCAAAATTACCTTCCATTCATTTCTCAAACACATTTGATCAGTGATTTGATCTATTGCGGTATCTATTGTCAAGAGAAAGCAGACACCTTGTATACATATAGTATACTTAGTGTAGACCAGGAAAGGCGAGATCTATAACAGGAATGTGTCGACGAATTTGAGATGAATTTTTCTTGCCAAAAATTTCAATCGATTCTAAGTACATATACATTTATTGAAACGTTATTACAAACGTTAAAAATATAAATAACAAGTTTTCCATTTGTTTATGCGAATATATATAAGAGACGCTAAATATAAGCTGTTTAAAAAAGCAATGAAAAAATGCTAGTGAAGAAAAAGTTATCTCAAAAATCTTCGCACATCCCTCTTGTCGACATCCACTTTCGTCGCTTATTCAGGTCCGCTCTGTATGTATATATTTATAATAACATCTTTTATTTCTCTAAATCAATATTTCTTTTTTTTTCTTCCCCGCGTAAGGGAATCAATAAATATATATATATATCTTTTCTTGTTTATTATTCGAGTCCCAAGGGCAGAAGAAATCGTCGTAGTTTCTGGAGTGAGAAGTAAGTCGTGTATTATTCCTCCTTTTGACGAGAGGATTTGATCGGTTATACGATATAGGTAAAAGTAGATTTATACTTGATTTGACACATATGATTGAGGTTTCGAGCAAGTTTGTCTGCTGCTTGCTTAGCTCGCATCTCACAGCCTAGAGGTGATTTAAATCCGGAGCGCGGTTTCATTTTATAAATGAAACGCGCCCCACAAACGCCGCACAATAAATACCTCGACAAATGCCAAGCCCGTTGGTATATTACTTATGTTATTCGAAACAGCCGAGTATCGATAAGATCGCTCAAAATTTATGTTCAAAAACAGAGAGCGCAAAGTGCAATGAGAGACAAGTAGCAAACTGACGTCAACATGACGTACACTTATTATTATGCTACTTGGGGAGACATCTTCAAAAATTTTTCCAATTACGTTTTGAATATCGGAATAATAATTGTTTCCGAAAATCATAATAATCCGAATATTCTAAATAAATCTTCAAAATTTAATTTTAAAAGTATATTACGTAAACAGCTGAGAATATTTTATAACAGACTTCGATGAATCAAACTTGTGTGGATATTCTCCGGAAGAAAGAATACATTCTCTCGACTTTACATATCACGTTTAGAATATAAATTGCAGAAGCAGAACAATATTTCTGAATAAACTTTCAAATATTCTCTCTTGATCAATATATATGTATATAATATAGGTACAGAACAAAACGGTTGCATCACGGTTGGCTTTTCACTTTCACACGTCGTCTGGAATAACTATCTTATTTTCTATTTTGCAATATATTGAGGACTTTTTTATAGCCAAAGTATTGTGCGCATTTTTATTTATCCGCAACGACTCGCATACACCGATCTTCTGCGTGTTTTCCGCCATAGCTGGCTTATATTCAGTCTTTTGCAATCTATTTTCTACAATGCAATTACGAAGAAAATACCTCCCGGGACGAATGGAGAAAAGAACCTAAGCTCCAAAGAACGCAAAGTATATTGTTCTGTTTCCGCAGAGCGAACATAAACCGCGGACGCATCTCCGCTGTTGCCGATAACACATATGAGCCGAACAGAATGAGAGTGATGTGAATCGCGCTTGTTATCAGACTGCGCTATATTAGATTAATCAGAATGTCGGACTCTGAATTTTTTCAAATATTTATCAATCACTTTCATTCTCACCAGCTACAAATATACATCTGTATATATATATATATATGTATATATAAACATATATACATACATATGTATACACACACATACATACTCTATTTATATATCACACATACGTTTGTGTGCATGTGGTCATTGTGCATTTAAAGTAAATACGACATAGTAAAATATAAAGCGGCAGCAGAATATACTGCAATACTGTTTGACCTATGAAAAGGATGATGTTTCTCGTTTTCTTCATCTTTTTTCTTATTATTCATCTTCTTTAAATCCCTTAGAAATAAACGCGCGGACATTTCTCTTTTCCTTTTTATCTATGTATGTATGTACAACGTATGTGTATTGGCGATTTATCCGGCAACAATCGATACGTATTTGCAATAAACTTTCTCATAATGTTAACATGTCTCATATAAACTATGCAGTACCAATGCCTATCGAGTTAGATAAGTACACATAAAATATATGCAATCGGTAAGTAACATAATAAAATTATAAAATATATATATCGCAAACATCATGGACGAGAGAGAGAGATAGAGATAGAGACAGAGAAAGAGAGAGAGAGTAATAATTTTTTGTGTATATTATGCGTCTACATATATACACATTATAGAGAATCTCTATATGTACCCAGTTTTGTTGCAAATATTCTGTCGTACGATGCACTTGTTAAAGATATATATATATATATATATATATATCCATTTCAAACTGGGATATTAAATGCGAGCGCATTTCGCTATTTATATCTTTTTTTATGAATTAATTTGTGAAACGCTCTTCGTTGATGCCTCTTTCTTTCTTTCTTTCCTCTCGTTTCAGGGCATCGACGCAATTCATGCGTCCGACAAAAGTCAAACAATTTAGTACGGGATATATATAATTTTCTATTATATATATACTATATATAATATATATTATATGTTATATATTATATATTATATATATTTATGCATACATCTCTTCTCCCTCCATTAATGTAAATATTCTTTTTTATCTAAACTAACGGATCAATGGCGATATCAATTCGCACACTCGTCCGTTTTTAATTCGATACACTTTCATAGATAATTAACGTTTTCACGTTTTTTTCTTCTTTTCTTATTTCTTCTTCCTCTTCTTCTCTAGCTACTGATATTGCAGGACAGTGCGTGCAATTTTACAATGTGAATGTACATATATATAATATATATATGAGAAGGATGCTCTGAAACTATCGCGCTTTTATTTCTTCCTAATAACATCGATTTGTCATTTGGATGAAAATTGAATGATCTTCAATTCTCAATTATGTATATTCATATAATATTACATAAAAACATTCAAAATTAATTAAAAAATAAAAATTGTGTTTACATCCATAAAATGTTTAATGTTCCTAAATTCTTTCATTATTATTTAAAGTCATTAGATTTCTCGAATTTAGAATGATCATTTTGTGCGATGTTTCGATATTTTTATAATCGAAAAAAAAGCGATAGTTTCGGTTCGTCCTGGGCCTAAACGATAATTAATTATCATCGCCTCTATTATTTCAGTTACAAGAATTTGCAGAAATTTGAGAAGACGCGGTGCGTAATTTCGCGTAATCCTTAGCACAATATAATTTGTTCACGGACATTGATTAAGTATTTATATCGATAAATATTACACTGAACGCTAGTCCCACATTTATTTCTTTCTCAATCCTTTCGAGGAATTTTCATTCATGGAAGAAAACTCGAAGAAACTCGAATAACTCGATGCTAAAAAGAATTTAGCGTCAAAAGATTAAAACCAAATATGTTAATTCTAAAATCAATATAAGTAACATTAATTTATCGATTTTACGGTCTGCTAAATTATTATAGTCTGATCAATAATCTAAAAATTAATTAAATTTGGCTATTTTAGTGACGGGAAATTATTTCAATAAGATTAGTTCTACTCTTGTCTTTCTTTTTATCAGCGTCGAAGCAAGTTATCGCGATTTAGTGGCGAAAAACGTATTGGATTTTTTACCGATCTCGAAAGGATTGAGGAAAACGCGTGTGTATCTCGCGCTCGTATTAACTAGATATATTAGATAATACCTATCTAAATGAAGCGCGGCCGGAAACGGGGCTACGCGCGGAACGTGACATGCACACGACACTTAATTAGAATTACTTTATACGCTAACGCTATATATATATATGTATATTATATATGTATATATATATATATATATATATATATAATATAAATATATATAAAATCCTTCGATGAGATTCGGTAAGAACCGACGCACATTTTGAGTCTTTCGAGTTACGCTCCTCGCATCATGATTCAACTTTACTTGGTGTTATCGATTAGCAAGTGGTAGTGGCATCTTGGACCGGTAGGCCTTAAAGACGATACAAACGCGCGCATGTGTGTGTATGTGTATTTGCATATAATTATATGTGTATGTGTTTGTGTGCAAAAATTTTCGCGCGAAACTGGAAAAGAGAGCGAGGGACCTTGGTAAGAGCCCCTGCAAGGAAATGCAATAATACTCGCGACATCCTCGCGTCGCGTCGTCTTTCTCTATTATCAAATACACATACATAATGATAATAAAAATCAGCGCTATCCTAGACTACTCTAAATTCATCTCTATCAAGCAATAAAATTATATACGTACCTACTACTCTTAATTTTTTTTCTATTAACGACAATGCGTGTAGAAAAATGAGCCTCTCGCGTCTTTGGTTAAACGCGAAGCATTTAGAAAGTAGTCTGGCAGTGGTTTCGTAGATGCTTCGACCTTAGCCTCGGACCAAATTTTGATTCTCAAATTTTTCACCCCGTTTTTTTCTACCACTTTCATCTTTGTTTTTTTTTAGACGTGAGTTTTAGCTGTCAGTTGCAAAGGAATCGAATCGAAGTGACGTTTACTCGGGACTCATGTCGTTGAGCTACAGTTTTTATTCATTAGGTGATTTCTAAAAGATACCAACCACGGTTGTCCGGCTAGCTCGGCTGAGCTTGACAGGTTGTCGAATGTGAATCTGAATAGTTCTCGCTGACACAAGCATATCTGACACATAAATAGACTGGTTCAGAAATCCATTTAAAGGAAACTTATATCCTTTGGTATCGTCGCTTTTTTGGCTTCATCATTGGACGATCGGTTCGCGTTATAAGTCGGCTTCGAAGAAGCTTCGTTTTCCATGTCCAACATAGACAGACGACCGCCATCGTCCCCGTCCATTTATCATCTCTCTTCCTTTAATAACTTTCAGAGTGCGCGACGCAAGTGACTACGCAGACAATGGCACAATGATGGCTTCTTGTTCCTTAAGATGGTGTCGTTTAGGTCACTGAGAAATAAACTAGAGCTCTGTTTCCGCAAGACAGCGGCATCAATTCCCGTCACTTTACGAATAGTTCACGAATAGATAGTGATCACTTCCCGTCCGCTACCCCGCACCATCAATACCCTTTCCAACCCTTCGGTGAGCACCTCGAGGAATTCCATGTCTGATTTTCAATAGTCAAGGAAGTTTAATTAACATATTGTTTTTTGTTGTTCAAAAAAATTACTTAATTTTTATTTTTTTAAATCTTTTCAATATTGAGATGATATTCTGCTGTTTATTAAATTATATAACTATTTATATTATTATAAAATTATTATTATTATGATTATTTATTTTTATTTTTTCAAGATGATTGAAAAAAGGATACAATTAGATTCACGTTCCATCTTGGTGTCGCGTGGTGGTCCAGGAAGATTCAAGATAACCAATTGAGCTTCACTACTCATCTTCCGGATTACTTCATTCAACTTTAACGAGGTGTGCATACGCCTTACGTCACCCTCGTCGCTGTGCAACAAAATCGTTTGTTAAGGTATAAATATCGACGTTGAAATTGAAAAAATATCGTGCAACTCACGGTGTAATCGTAGGTTTCTTAACTTCTGGACTCTGACTATTGTTCTCCTGCGAATTACATTCTTTCTCCTCCTTCTCTGCATTCTCCTTGTTTTCCTTGTTCTCCGTTTTAGGTGAGTCGCTGGTAACTTTTGTCTCCTCATTGTTTTCCTTAGCCTCTTCTTTCTCGTCTGCCTCCTCGGTAACTTCTGATTCTTTATTGTTCAACTCAGTTTCCTGCATCAGTTTCTCCTTCGTGTCGTCGGTTACATTTGTGCTTTGGTTACCCGGCTCCTGGAATCTCACCTTCGATGGTATTTTGGCGTCGACGTTGTGATGATGATCCACGATTGTCTGCACCTGTATCACGGCAATGCAAATAAGCAACGCGTGCAATAACGACTGTGTCCCGAACAACGGAAGACAGTCAATTGTGAGGCAAGACTATAATCTAGCATCAAAGCACTATGTATGGCCGCCAAATGAATGCTATCTATGTAAGCAATCGTGCCAATTAAGCCGAAACTGAGGGAAACTTCCTGAGATCATGATGGACAGAAAGAAACAAATTGTTGCCAGGCGCTAATAAGAGCAAATAATAAGAATTTTTTCAAATTAGTTTAGAATTTCGAAAATTAAAAGTTAGTTCAAATTAGTAATAATGATATTTGTTGAATCTTTATTTTATTTATTTTTAAACTATAATATTTTTAGCTTTATAAATTAAGTGTGACTCAATAGCAGTTTTGGAAGTGTTTCGTCATATTTACAGGATTTCAACTCAATAGCGACCTCGCGACAATATTTTCTCTCTTATGACATTATTTTTATTATACGTATGATCGTCGAGGAGGAATAAGACCGTTATGTGATATCGTGGAAGCAGGGAAAGGGAATATATAAAATATAAAATCATCGGTGCAATGGAGCAAATGAAGGGAACGAGAGGCATACATGGAATTCCGAGGGTTATCTGACAAACCAGAGGTAATTTTTCCTCGGCGGGTACCTCGTTGAAGTCCACCAATGACTGCACCTTTATCCGTGACGAGCACGCAACAAACAGACACACACCGATCAGTATCACCGTTTCTCACCATGTGTTTGTTATTATAATATGTATATATTTATACATATTATACCATAAGCAGGTTTTTCCCCTTTGTTTTTCCACATGCGATACTCACCACTCCTAGTGACTGCTTCTTATTCAGTTGTAACTCGCGTAGCATCTGGTTCCTTTGTTCCATAATCAGAGTACGTTCATACGTGTACGCAGAGATGTCTGTATTTGTCTGCAAACAAGTCACAATACACGGAATTTTAATTTATGAAAATAATCGCATCGACGATTTTTTTCTTCCATTAAATATTTTTAATTACCATTTCAACGATTTCAACTTCCGCTTCAATTCTCAAGTCGTACAAGAACTTCTTTAGATCTTTCTTCATTTGTATAGAATTATCTTCCATTTGTGCAACTGTGAAGATTCTCATCTTGCAATTTTTCCAAGTACGTTGCTGCTTCAACAAGAACGGTAGCAGCATTAATAGACCGCCATCGTGTACTATCCACCAAACATCAATATTGCCAATTATCTTCTCGCTGGAGTCTGGGAAAAAGTTTATGCCTTTAGGTACTAGCAAGGCCATCTTGGCGGCTGCAACACTTCTCACGGTTTGCAGGAAGACTCGCCAGGTTCTCTCTTCCTCTGATTGCCGCCAACCGTACGGCCATCCCAGTATCACGGTATTGGGTTTCAAACCACCCAGTCCGATGGTTTGTACCAGCGAGCTTAGGCCATCGACGGTATTCCTTGCTACGAGAACTTCAACGAAACCTTTGACCCTCTCTTCTGCCGCGGTCTTCTTCAAGCTTTGTTTAGCCGCTAGGGCTTCGCCCGAGTTCTGCGTATAGTCGCCAGCGATGCAACTGACACTGATGGTGAGGCCCTTGCCGGCTTTGAGCTGACTAGCGAAGGCGAAGAGTTTACGATACTTGGGTACCAGATCGTCGGTGAGTTTGGCAAGAATCAAGATCTGTGGACGCCAATTCTTCGTGTGCGGCGGACCTTCCTCGAGTCTGAGCAATGAGTATCTAGCAGCAGATAGCGCCAGACCGCGAATACCATCGCCCCATTCCTTCTCAGCGCCACGATATTCGATATACTTGTAGATACAGCCAGCCATACCCATTGCCAACAGTGCGTAATACCAACTGGTCATGAACATGATAGCAATGCAGAGTGCCAGACCGATGAAAGACAAGCTCCAGTGATAATACTTGAAGCGCGGCCGCCAGTTAGGCGTACGCAGCAGGGTCTGTAATGCGCAGGCGAGATTTACGAACCCATAACACATGAGGAAGAACATGGACAGCAATGGTGCTAGATAATCCACATTGCCGAGCAGGATTCCACATTGACAGATCAACACGGTGAGCACTAAAGCACGAGTAGGTTCGCCCCGACTGGAACTGGTGGCGAACGGCGACAGGAAAGGAATGATGCCGTCTTTAGCGATCGCCTGCAGTAATCGTGGCGCTCCCGTTAATGATTGAAGACCGGCGCCCAAAGTGGATAGAAAAGAACCGATCAGAATCACCCACTGATTCGGCCATGCCATATTTGCTACTACAAGCTTGCCGCCGATACTCTGACCAAATTTGTCACGTAATAGCAAATTGTCAACGGTACCGGCGAAGAGTAAGACGCTGGACAGATAGACAGTAGAAGTTGTTAGAATTGCGCAGATTGTGCCAATCGGGATGGATTTCTGGGCATCAGCTAAGTCACCAGATCGATTGGAGCCCGCCATGATGCCTGTAAATTAATATTATTTATTAATTACAATTTGTACATATACATATATATATATATAATGAAAAAATACATATTATTAAAATATAATTTAATATTAGTATAATATGCAACGATAATATGCATCTTTGCTTACCTGTTACGGAGGGAAAAAATATACCGATGAGAATGGTGAAGGTTGTGGTGAGATCGACTTGAATTTGATTGTAGGACGAGCTTGATAAAACATCCATATCCTTTGGATCGTTTCCGTAGGAAATTAGTTGACCCTCTTCTTGGAAACGATCCCATATGTTCTCTGTATATTAGAAAATAGAATATTTTCAATAATTTATCTATCTTATATAATAATCACAAAAATCATAATTTTACCTAAGAATACACCGCTGGCCAAGCCACGAATACCGTTGACGATAGTAAGGTTGTTCGCGAGGAAATATGGATCGCATTTAGTGTGGGTGAAGTTACCGCAATAGAGATTGTGTAATTTTCCGTTCAAGTTTTTATTGCAATCGTTTACAACATCGATGTCCTTTAACAGCCGCCTGCCGAGCACACACAATCTGAAACACAAGTGTTGGTATTTTAAAGCCTTCAATCTTCTTTTGATTTGCTTGTTTCTTGCAATAGATGTAATTATCATTTATCGTCTCTTTATAATATTGTAATTCGCGGCAGTGTTCCCACTGTTGATGACTATATATATAATACGAAAATTAGTATCGCAATTAGTTTAGTACTTCAGGGATTCGTTGCCATTAACGTTGACGAAGAGCCCCACGTAAACAGCAATGATGGAGAGAATGACGCAGGCCAGTGCTACTGTAGCAAACTTGTTAACGAACTTTACGCCAATGAAGACAATCGTTCCCATTACCATCAGCAGGAGAGTGCCATATACCCGGAAGTTGTTGTACATAATATTGGCGTCTTTCGTAAAGTCGCCAAATATGCTGAGTCCAGGGGCCATGTAAGTCTACGAAAAAGTGCCGAAAAAAAGATGAGCGAGTGAGTGAAATACGTTCTGTTAGAGTATTCAAAAAATATACAAGTCTCCTATAATTAATATTTTAAATATCTATTATTATATATATTAGAGATATTAAGAAATGAATTATTACATTATTTATTTTATTTATATTTATTTACATAAGTGAAATATAAAGTGGTAATTTAATTAATCTCAACAGTTATAAGATTATGTAATATTTTAATTTTTTTACGTTAAATTTTAATCAATTCGTCCAATTAATTAAAAGACTAATTAAAGTAATGAAATTGTTGATACTTACGAGAACGATTTCGACGGCACCGATGATATACATCGCAGCGGCCAAAGTAGTACCGGTGTAAAACAGCATCCCTACCGCGCCACCGAATTCCGGGCCTAAACTTCTTGATATCATGAAATAGGAACCACCAGCTGGAACCACGCCATTGGTGGCGATGGCGCTCATACTTATCGCCGTCAGCATTGTCTACGTACACGAGGAATAAACTATTTGTTATGATCCATGCACATTCTCGAAATTCAATCCGCGAAGAGCTATTCATGCTCAGTCGTTCATATGACTGAATTCTTGATATATTATATTTTTCAGAAAAAAACCTATTTAGATTAATTCGAGAATCGTCTTTTCATATTTTTAGAAATTCGATATTTTTATGTAAATCTTATATTTTTAGTTTTATATATAATAAATATATTAAAATGTTTTTAGCTCTTTCGTATTTTTTCCCAGTATCTTTACACCCTGCAGACGTATATACTCACTACGCAACAGCAGCAAAGCACGATGAAGAAACCTTGAATGGCGCCAGCCGTGCCGACCACCCATGTCAATCGGATAAAGAGGATCACACCGAAGATATTTTGGATACATGGCAAATAGACGCCTATGAGGGTACCCATTTGCGCTCCACGTCCCGCAGCCGGTGCCGGTTTGCTGTCAGGGTCGGTCGCCGCGGGGATGGTGTTGCTATAATTGGCCAGGCTGTTGAGCAACGTCGAGATCCTCGGTCGATCCTCCATCTCCTCCTATGATTCAATTAGATTTTTAGCCATCCGTCAATCGTATAATATTGCGGATCTTGAAGAAATATCGCTTTTTCCTTCATACTTTTTTCTTGTGGTATTTTGATCGATTAATTAAAAAAGAAATCTTCTGGATGAAGAAAAGATAACAATATGAGTTTTATTAGATTTTTTATGTTTTTTTACAAAAAAGGAGGAAGAAACATCTCGAGTAGTTTATTCGAAATTTAAGGGATATAGGTTTATCATTTATGAGTCGTGACTGATCACACGTAGACTTTCACTACTTCATTATATAGAAGTATAAAATATCGCTTTTTACTTCTCGCTTTTTTTTGTAGCATTCTGATTAATTAATTGAAAGAGAGATCTCTGGATAAAGAAAAGATAATATGATTTTTTGTGTTTTTTTTAAAGAGGACGAGGCATCTTGAATAGTATATCGAAATTTAAGGAATAGGTTTATCATTTACGAATCGTGATTGTCTGATCGCACGTAGACTTTCACTACTTCGCTGTATAAAATATCACTTTTTACTTCACCTTTTTTTCTTGTAGCATTTTGATCAATTAATTAAAAAGAGATCTTCTGGATAAACAAAAAATAACAATATGATTTTTATTAAATTTTTTGTGTCTTTAAAAAAAATAGGAAGAGGCATCTCGAGTAGTTTATTCGAAATTTAAGGGATATAGCCTTATCATTTACGAGTCACGACTGATCGCACGTACACTTCCACTACTTCACTATATAAAGTATAAAATATCGCTTTTTACTTCACGCTTTTTTTCTTGTAGCACTTTGATCAATTAATTAAAAAAGAGATCTTCTGACTAAAACATAATATGATTTTTTGTGTGCTTTTTAAAAAAAAGAGGATGAGGCATCTCGAATGGTTTATTGAAATTTAAGGAATATGTAGGTTTATCATTTACGAGTCACGACTGATCGTACGTAGATTTTCACTACTTCAGTGTATAAAATATAAAATATCGCTTTTTATTTTACGCTTTTTGTTTGTAGCATTTTGATAAATTAAGAAAGAGATCTTCTGGATAAAGAAAGATAATATGATTTTTTGTGTGCTTTAAAAAAAAAGAGGACGAGGCATCTCGAGTAGTTTATCAAAATTTAAGGGATATAGATTTATCATTTATAAATCGCGATTGTCTGATCGCACGTAGACTTTTACTACTTCACTGTATAAAAGTAGCTTTTTACTTCACGTTTTTTTCTTGCATTTTGATCAATTAATTAAAAGAGATTTTTGGATAAAGAAAAGATAACAATATGATTTTTAATAATATAATTTTGATGAAAGATCAATAGATGGAAGATAGATAAAAGATAATATGATTTTTATTAAATTTTTTTATGTATCTTTTTTTTAAAGAGGAAGAGGTATCTCGAATAGTTTATTCGAAATTTAAGATATAGGTTTATCATTTAAGAGTCGTGAATAATCACACGTATATAGACTTTCACTACTTCATTATATAAAGTATAAAATATTGCTTTTTTCTCGTAGCGTTTTGATCAATTAATTAAAAAAGAGATCTTCTGGATAAAGAAAAGATAACTATAATTTAAAAACTTTTTGTAACTTTTTTTTAAAGAGAAAGAGGCATCTCGAATAGTTTATTCGAAATGTACGGGATATAGATTTATAATTTACGATTGTCTGATCGCACATAGACTTTCACTACTTCTATAAATACTAACAATAAGACGTTGCTACTTTTATTCAACTACGTTTATCTATTTTTGTCTCGTCGCGTATAGACTTTATTATTACTGAATAGAAATCGAAACATTTTCCAGACGAACAAACTGTCCGACAAATCATCGACTTTTATCACTTACAACATGTTTATTCCTATGCCAAGAATCGCGACCCTCGCTTGCGTTGTAATCTCATACAAGGTTTTTTATTATGCCGAAAGCGACGCAATCTCATTTGCAATTTTATTGATAAACTTGCGGAAAAATGTCGCGTAACTTTATCCGTAGGGACACTTTTATGGAAATTGTTGCTCTTTTTTCATGTAAGTTTGCAATCTCATTACGAGAATATTGCGTTGTTGTCGATCTAATTTCGTGATGACTACTTTTCACGTCGAAGCATTTCGTTCTTGCGTTATATACAGGAAATACAGATATTTGCATCAAATATGGTCGTGAAGGATGTCGGAGAACGTGAGCCGAGAAGATCCGAGATGATCCACGGCGATTTCCTTCAGGAAATTGCAACGCGTCTTTCATGTCCTATCTTTAATCTATTTCTCGCGTGATGTCCTTCTAATTTCTTCTTTCATCTTTGCACGTCGCACAATGTGTTGCTGGACATTTACGTTGATTTTCACGAAAAGCCTCTATAATTTTGATCTACTGAATAAGAAATCCTTCACAGATCCATCCTTTTCGTTTATCCCATTTCATGATTTTGAAGAAACTTAATAAGTTTATAGAGTACACGAAATAATAAATAATAAATACTATTAAAAAATAGAAGTATAATTCTATTCTTCATAGATAGAAAGGCAGCTCTTATTTTTCTCCCTTTCTTATAAATTAGTATTATTTAATATATATACATATACATATAATTATTGATTAAATTTTTTCGGAAATTATATTTTTAAAAATTTATATAAGTGTGATAAAAATGTATCGGTGTTTGTTTAGCCTTTTAAATTTAATTTGGATTACGGTACTCAATGTAGCCGAGAATGCCGAGAGAATTAAAATCGGTATAAAACGAATTAACGGATTTGACAGGGTACAAATACTCGCCTCGTGAGATACAAAGCTTGATAATAGCTTGCAGTTTTGAACGGAAACAGACACAGATAAGAAAACTGGGCCGACGAAAGACTCAAGTTGTTCTCTTACAGTTAGAAAAATAACGTTAAAATACCAAGGAGTAAAAACGAGGATAAGAGACCGAGAAAAAGAAGAGAGGCTAAAGTATGCGGCTTAAATGTCGTTGTAAAGGAATGATAATCCAGAAAAGAATTCTTAGTTCACAAAATTCCTTCTTGTTTTCTCTTTATTTAGAAGAATTTTATAGTATATACTGAATATTATCGAAGGGAATATTCGTTCGATTTTAAGAGATTTTAACTAAAGTTTCTATATAAAAATATAATTTTACGTGATAGAGATACAATTTTTTCATGTGAGAGATAAAAGAAAAGAAAAAAGTTTGATCTTCTTAACTTTACGACATATAATCTCCGACTGATTCAGCTTACATAAATTGCTGTTTTTATCATAATTCCGCTAGTTAATTACACAATAAATATGTTATACACATTCAAAGTAAATAATCCCTTAAAAGGATATAGATTAAGAAAATGATTTATTATTTAATAGAAATGCATTACATGCATTAAAAATTACTAAATTTTAGATCGTGCATATATATTCTCTTTCTTTTAAAGTAAAATGAGAAAATTTTCTCTTTCTCTAGACATTAAATTTTAAATTAAAATGTACGTAAATTTAAAAGTTCATAAAAGGAAATTTGTCAAGATTAAATTAATTTGTCAGACTTTTGTTATACTTACACTGTAGAGATACAGATTGGTTTCATATCCGGATTTTTTCTCAGAATTAGTGCTGCCGACAATATCGCCATCTCCGCCTGCGCCGCCTCCATCGCCTGAAAGCAAGAAAAAACGTACATTTAATTATTTGCTGCTTTATCCGGATGCAAAATACGTATTTTAAAACTGCAGAAGAAATTATACCAGCTACTAAAAAAGAAAAAATTAAAATTTTCATTAAAATAGTATATCACGAATGAAGAAGTTCTCAAGAAAATTAACATTTCTCATTTTTAAAGGCGTTAAAAAGAATAAAGTTTCAATTACTGTTAATTAGTCTATTTTCTTCAATTTCATACAATCTAGTTCATTATGTTTTGCGACTAATTAAAATGTAAACGTATTGATAAATACATTTTCGTGATTATCTAATTATGCTACAACTTGGTAAATATAAAATATTAATAAATGTTTCACTTTTTGTAATATATGGTAAGAAGTATACATTATTGCGTGGAAGTCTACTTATTGTTAGTGACAGTTGAACTAATTCAAAAGTCGTTTATATGAAATACTTAAAGCTTCAATATTTTCTACCTGCTGCTGAATGGTTTATATATAATACTATGATTACTTTTAACATTATTAAAAATTAATTGTCAAAGCCGTTATAAGTTGGTGAAATAATGTGTAAATAAACTCGGTGATAACATTAATCTTTTCCGACGTGTGTAAATGCATTAAATTAATAATATTATTGATAATTATAATATATCAATAACAATAAAAATCAATAAAAAGTGACAAAAAAACTTGTCACAAATAAATAAATTATTCACATTCAGAATTATTAATGTTTAAAAAAAAAGATTGGTATTTTTATGTATGATCTCGCTTACGATTTATTCAGTTGTATTGTATTGTTCTACATTCGTTTCTTTCCCATGTATTTTATACGCAAAAGAAACATAGATTGGTGAGAATTTAACGATGTTACGCCCTTAAAGGGCTAACTTGCAATATAGTATCCCGCGATACAAATGGCACTAGTCCAACTGGCACGTACGATCGTTAATCGACCTGACAGAATTTTTATCAACGCCAATTCAGAGTCGGGTCTCGTGAGGAGAACTCCAGTCTCTCGGCTCATTCGTTTCTCTTGTCAGTGAATCTCGACTCTTTTCTAGTATTCCACGAAGACGTCCAAATTCTAATAGAAGAAGATTTTTCATCTAATTCAAACTGATTGTAAGCCGCAATACTCGAATATAGAATTTGTAAGTTCTTTAATTGTTTCTCAAAGTCTGACATGAGGTGTCGCACCGAAAAAATACAAGTAGACCTTGTTATTTGAAGATCATTTTTTCTGAGCAAAAATATCGAGGCATCAATAATTTTCGAGTTATAAACAATTGAAAATAAAGGATTTCTCGCAAACTAAGCCTTGTGGAAATAAAATATTAACAAAACCACCTTTTCCAATTAATTGCAAGTAGAGGATGGCAAACATTGGGAATATGAAAAAATGATGGGCTTCCTCGACAGTTTTGCTGAGGAAAAATCGTTTCCAAATAACGAGATTTAATTGTATATTTTCGGTGTGACACTTTATGTCAGACACTCTGTATTATATATATATATATATATATATATTCGAGCTATGAATCATAAAAGTAAAACGAGATACGTTTCTTTCAAACTTTAGATACAATTGTCAAAATATTTAATATCAAATATATATATTGAAAATTATATATAAAAATTAATGTGTATAAAATATATACATATTAATATGTTATATATAAAAAGAGAAGAATATAAATGCTCTTTAATAATATTATAAATAATATTGCTCTTTAAATTACGGTTCTTTGTCAAATTTAATCGCGTAATATTTAAGCGAGCAATTTTTCATTCGTTAATGCAGGAAGAATAATGATCGATAAAGGAGAAAAAGAGCGGGGAAAATAAGAGAATAAGGCGGAGCGGATTACGCAGTCTTATGTCATCGAGGCGGGCGTGCTTGATAGTCATGAGAGAAGCTCTTCTTACCCTTGTCTACTTGAGAAGCTTCAGCTTGACATATCAGAGCCGCGAATTTCGCTCGTAATCTACTTCCGTAGCGGGCGCGAATAATGCTGCAGTAAAATGCGTTACGCGACAGATATTACGCGATCAATGTAAACAAGACAATAGCTCTTGGTCTCGACGTATTTATAGTCGGCAGTTTTCCCGATATACGGAACGTTCCGCGAATTAAACGGTACTTTTTGCAGAATATCCGATATTTTTTATAATTATACCATATACGTGACGTCGAAAATATATATATATCTAGAAATATTTATAGCGCAGAGGCACACGTTTAATGGCTGGAAAATTGAGTTACGCCTTAGCATGATTATAATCTTATCAGTCATCTATATATCCGAGATGTATTTTCTTACTATCCTATAAGGGCGAGCAGGTAATTGAAATCTTCAGGCTAAAATAGAGTCCCGTGACGATATTTCACTGATGGAACTGAATGATGGATCAAAACTATATACTTCATTTTTTCATGATTTCTATGGGATGAGTCACAACAAATTGAACAGATCATTTTCGAATAAATATATTATTAATAGAGAAATAAGAGGAAAAAGATGATATAATATAAGTGTCATCGACATCTATCGAACAAATGCTCGTTATTATCTTTTAATGACGTTATAACGAGTTTAGCGACGAATAAATTTTATTATCAGAAAAGCATTGTCCCACATTTACGATCTCAGTTATCGCGCGCAATTTCCGTTAGTTTTATCGGCGATGTAACGTAACGGAAAAACGGTAGAAAAGAGAGTACGAGAAGTAGGTCGATGATTTCTCGACGTGAGACGCAATGCCAAGGCTTTCCAGTGTAGAGAAAAATAGATATAGTAGACGCATAGCAAAGAGAGCTAGATAATATAAGAGGATGCATCCGCGGGGAAAAGTGTGTCACGATTATTGTTGGATATCCTTCTTCAGACTGTCGTCTGCCGCTGCCTCTCTTTCATTCTCTTTTATCTCGATACCTCGTGGACGACTTTATAATATTTTGCCGGAAAAATCGCACATTTCGTCCGTGTATTTCGCGCAAGTAACGATTCCCGGGATACGGTGGCAGTAGCTGTCGGTCCAGAGATCTCGATCGGAATCTGTTCCCGCGAGAGCGACGTGATCGAGAAAGAAAACGCGAGAAATCGTTTTCGTGTCTCGCTTCTTTATAAAGCCGTGAACGCACAGAAAAAACAGTATCCTTGAAAGAATGCAAATATGCCTTGATTCAAGTATATTTTATCCTTATAATAGCGCCAAATATAAATAATTTTGGATAAAGGATAATTTATTCTTAAAACAAAGTGCAAAATATTCTTGGTTGAAGCTGAAATTTACTTATAAATATTGCAAGGACAAGTGAGGATCGGATATAAGCGGTACTTTCAAGTATATATAATAATTCTTAGTTCAAATGTGACTAAGTTTGTTTTTACCACACATATGCGATTTTTAAAACAAGAATATATCTTAAGGATAAAATAAACTTCACACAAACTTATTTATTATTAAGGCAAATGAAAATTTGTGATTACAAAGAGCATTCTATGCTTAAATCAATCAAATAGCGTCCAAGAATAAAAATATACTTGAATCAAGGATTCCTTTTTTCTGTGCGGGTATCGAAAAACGACCGGCTTAATATTCATTTCTAATGCATTTCGTTTTTTTTTCGGGTATTTTCTCGAGCTGATTTTTCTTTCATTTATTTCATGTTTTTTTTTATATTTTTTTTTATATTTCTTGTTGTTTTGACATTTTTATTATTCGAATAGAATATTGAAGATTGTGGCTCTTGGCCATTTGTAGTCTCATTCAATTGTCGATATATATTGCACGATACATTATGGCATTATGGTTTTAATCGTTGGCCAATGTATATTGGAATCGAATCTCAATATTTCATAAAATTGTCAAAAAAGATTTTCATCCGAGTATATTGTTTGAATGTATATTGCAAGCCCACTGATACAAAATCTATAGAGCGATTCGTAAAGAGTACAGCAAGGGATTATCATCATGACGTAATATGCAATTATGTATACAATTATGTATGGGATACTTCAAATCGCATCATTTCCGCTTTCGCTGTTAACCTAATTAAGGACATTTTATAGAACAAGAGGGAATAAAATAGAACGATTTTTTTAACAGACAAAAGAGGCTTTGTGTGCACGCAGAGCAGTATTTGATGCGTGCATTAATTTTTAATTATTACTGCAATCTGCATAAAAGAAGTTTGTGCGTTTCATACAAAAGGGGTTTGGTCGTATAATATTTCTACACTACAGAATTTTCCAATATAACAGTCAAAGGAGAGAAGAGAGTGGAATGAATGAGTGAGAAAAAGAGAGATAGGACGACAAAAGGAAAAGAGAGAAATGTCATTTTTCCGCGAGCAAACACGATAAGGAAAAGTATATCGCAAATAAATACACGTGTTCTCGATAGAAGTGCATTTCTTTGACGGATGTTGCAAACGCCACGAGCGAAAGTTGCGATAGTGCTGTCACGAAAAATGGAATTCTCTTTCGGGAGTATTTCCTGAAGCTCTCTCTTCTACAGGATGTCACACGTAAGAGTTTTATCGTTTAGCAAACGTAAACGGATCCTTAATAAAGAATAAGTTGCCGTAAAAAAAAAATTCGATTCGATCGTCCATATTTTTTCCGCGCTCTATTAAAATATTTATTTCAAAAATTGCTCCAAAAATATAGAGTATTTACAAAAATTAAATAACAAATATTGATGCCAGTATATCATCTGTATAATATTGACACGTATAGGTCTGTATCCAATGTGTCGAACATTTTGATGATTTCCTGTTTGATTTACAAAACACACACACCAATACACATATACATATACGTACACACATACTCATGTATCATTGTATATACGAGCAAATAATTATGATCGAGTGTCACCTGCATGCCTCTATGCGTCATGCTTGTACTTAGACACATATGTAGCACAAACGTAAATCCAATCGTCGAAGTAAGATTATTTAGTGTCTGGACTATTCCCAAAATCG